GTGCCAAATCGTGTGACCAACTCTTTCTCGAAATCTCTCCACCGAATTTCCTCGCCCTTGGTCTTGTACACATGTGACATCCATTGCCACCATGTGTTTGCTTCACCATCGAGATGATAAGCGGCGATCCTGACTCTCTCGAACTTGTGCACCTCGTTGATCTCGAAAAATTGCATGGCTCGGTTCAACCAAGCGTCCGGGTCGGTCCCCGTAAACGTAGGCATCGTGAGCTTTGGTCGTGCATAGCCTCGGTCGTCGTGCTGGTGCATCGCGCGTGATGCGCGGGTCCTCCGTGATCGTCCTTCATCGTCGTCGTGGTCGGTCCCGGGGCTGCTCGATGCCGCGGTCGATCGCGAGGTGTGACTCCTTCGCGGTCGGCGTGTCATGCACGTGAGTTGCCCAGCTAGATCATGCACCATGAGCTCGAGTTTAGCGAAATTCTCATTGACATGGTGTTGGCCATTGCCGATGGACTTCACACTCTCCTCCAAGGCTTCGATCCTCTCCTTGTGTGTCATCATCTCGACTCTCTTTTTTTTTTTTTTTGATACTCTCGAAAAAATTCGAAACAAAAGAAAATAGAATGGGGAAGAAAAAGTTCAACCCAACACACGATCAATCACTCTCAATGAAAGCACCAATGGTGAAGGATCGTGTCTTACGTCTAGCTCGACTTGCTCGAAACCCGCGCCGACGCCTTGGTCCCTTCGCAATAGGTTGCTAATACGCGCGCCGACGCCTTCGTACTTCGCGATAGGTGTGACGAAACTTGGATGTTGGTCATATTTCTATCACTGTGAAGAAACTTGGATGTTGGTCCTATTCCATTCACGAACTCTATGTAAACTCACAGGAGAAAACACACGAGAACTTTGAACACAATGTTCGACTTTTTTCTATTCACTCATCAACATATTTTCGAATGGTACATATGGAGTATTTATAGATGCCAAATAGATCTAATCCTAGTCTAAATAGAACTCCTAATGCAAGTAAATAAATAAATCCTAAGGCAACTAAATATCTAGAGAATATGGACTTACCAAACAATTAAAAGACAAATAGGAAACTAATAGGCACATGCGTTTTATTTGGATTCCTAACCAAACTACTACTCCTAATTATACTAAGTAAATCTCGTCCAAATCCCCTTTGCTTGCCCATCAAGTCGGTCGCGCGCCCAAACCCTAGCCGCTCGAGATCGCACGCCGCCTCGCCATTCCTAGTCCTTGTCACGCGAGGTAATGCGCGCGCGCCATCCCCACGCGTCACCCCTGGCCAGCGCTGCCCGACCGCGTGCCCCCGTTCGCGCGTCGTCATCAACCGCGCGAGTGCTTTGCACTCCCGCTCGCACGGCCTCACCTCCTCGCTCGTCCATCGCGTTGGTCGCGTCCCAGCCACGTGCGCGTGTCTCGCGCACGACCACTTCATCGCCCTCGTCGACCCACTCGACCAACGCCTCGCGCGTGACTCCCGCCATCGCACCCTTCGCGCATTCGTCCATCGGGCTCACCGCGACACCCCAATCCTCTCGCGTACCCGTGCCATCGCAGCCGTCCCAAGTGCACGCTGTCCACTCTACATCCACCCCTCGTGCACCATTGGCCTTCGCTCGCATTCGTCGTGCGCGTCGCTCTCTTGCGCACGCCTTGCACCAATCACCCACCTTCCCGGGCACAATCTTCTCACTCTCGTCGTCGGCCCATGCCTCGTGCTCGTGCGCACTACTCGTCGCGCACCTCTTCTTCACCCGGCCTAGGCTCGCACGCCTCGCGGCTCGGTTGCCGCGTCCCGTCGGTATACGCGCCTTAGTGCGTGCGCACACCCTCCTAGCCCGTGCCCGAGCCCTTTCTCGCCTAACCTCTCGCCATCTCTCGAGGCCATCGTGGTTCTCGTCCTCGAGTTCGTCGGGGTCAATGACCACATCCGCATCACTGTGGTACCGCGCGCCTGCTGGGCGTGGGGACGGACAGGCACGGGGCCGGGCATTGCCGCGCACAGTGACCATGGCCGGCCCTTGCCGGACCCCCGGTGACTTTTCCCGGTGACGTGCATCACATAAAATCTTAATATGATTAAATAGCCACAAAAATGCTAAGAAACACTAGTGGACCCCGGGTCCACATGCATGATGCTCGGTAGGGCTTAAATGGCACGCACGAGCACTTAATCACCGAACCAACATTTATAACTTATAATATCACTTAGAGCCGAATGTTTAACATAAAAAATGATGACTATGAGGGCTAAGACATGGGTCATAACTTGCATTCATAGTACTAAGGCTCGGGGGTCCAAATTAACACATTATCATGAACAATTTGACCAAGGCAATGAACTCTAATCATGCTCAAACTTTTACACCATCAATGACATAATATATGAGGGTGACTAAGCTATCAATCTCGACTTAGACGTGCATGAAACTAAAACTCCAAATTTAAGGCTATTAATTCATAAAATTCGGAACTTATGATTAATCACGTGCATGGCTTGATTTTTCTACATGAAAAATCCTAAAATATCATAAATAAGCTGAGGGAAAAAGATAGCTCGAGCTAACCTTCACCAAAATGCAAAAATGGCGAGAGGGTGCTTGCTCGGGCTTCGGTCGCGGCTTAGGTGCTATGGCTTGATTCAGGACGGTTTGGCTGAGCTTGGCTGGTCTCAAAAGACTTAGAAAAATCCAAGAAACACTTAGAAGTCGCTAAGCTCTGAGAGAATTCGCTTGGAATGGCTTGGAGCTCGGTCCTCTTCTTTCTCGGGCTTGCACGCGCGCGGGTGGTGGCTAAGGGTTGCTCTCGGTTTTTCTCTTGATTTCTCACTAAGTGCTCGAACTATAAGGTATCAAAGGGATAATAAGAGCTGAAGATGAAGTCTTATATAGGTGGTGGGGCGGATTTTACAAGAATGGCTCATGGGAGACCAAAATGGATGGACTTATACATGTTTTAGGCACATAGGGACTTGGGGCTGCATGGGGCACGATTTGGTGGAGTTTCTGGTGGATTTGCAGAGCATGGTCAGGGGATAAAATTGGGTCTTCGGTTAAAATGGGCTGGAACTTAGTCATATGGGCTCAAGAAGTGGACTTGTCGCTGTGGGCGCTAGGCCTGGGCGCTGGACCTCGCTGGGCGCGGCCTGCTATGCGCGAGGCGCGGGCTGCGCGCGGGGACTGCATGGGCCGGGCACAATGCTTGTTCTAGTGGTCCAAAAGACTTAGAAAAATTATGAAGAACTTACCCAACACTTAACCAAGCATAGGGCATGGCTCGGCTCGGGCCTTGGCCGCGGGGAGGCTCGGCGCGAGGCTCGGCACGAGCGGTCTCGGGTAGGTGCTAGGGCTCGAATATAAGGCTTTAAGACTTGAACTTTGGTACTTCAATACACTTAGAAAATATTCTAAGTATCAAGATACTACGGCTCGACTATGCTCGAAAATAACTCGGAACAAAACTAGGGTTCGAAGCCAATAATTTCTCGAGTTGATTAGATATCAATTATCAATCCAAATTAATGGATTGATCTTGACTTTAACTTGAAATAGAAAATTCCAAGGAATAACCTATCATATTTGAGCATTTAGCATATAAAATATAACTCGGATTTTTCTGAAAATTACGGACTTCACTTATAGTCGAGCAGTGAAACCGTTCTTAATATTATTTCTGATTCGGGACATTACAACGAGGACGTTGGAGAAATATCTCAGCAACTCGTGCGGCAGATCACCATTCCCAAATCATTGAAGAAAAAAAATCGCAATTGCAAACAAATAGAAAACGAAACAGAACAGGAGCCTATAGGGAAATTTACACTCTCCAGCTCTCATCTCAATAACACATTTCTTAACCAGCAATACCACAAAAACTCCAACATTAACTCCAATCATGTCTAAGCCATTATTTTCAAATGCAGGGAAGATCATACAACAATAGTTAATCCAACAAAAACATAAAATAAAAATACTGAAGGTAAACACTTTACCCCAAATATTATTATCTGATTGTCAGCTTCTAATTTCCATACAAGGAAAACACACACACACACACACACACACACACACACATACACACACACCACACACACACAGAAAACTTACCAACTTCCATTCAAAGCCAATTATTTTGTTTGCTACAAGCATTTCCATGAATAAACAGATTCAACTCTAGGTTCAACTTCAAAATAATCCAAATGAAAACATGCGAAATCTACCTCACACAAACCTTAACATGAAAATTGCGGCAAGAAAATTAAAAGAAACATCTAGACCACTGACCCCACATCGATTTCTCTGCAAATAAAGCCTTTTTCGAAGAGAGAAAAAAGAGGCATACACACAACGTAATACGCATCACTGCAAAAAATCTCTATGATTTCTATATGAGGAGGCCGAGAGACGACGATGCAGATTTATTCATCGGGGGCGTTGACGCACCCAAGAAACTGCGAGTTGTGCTTCTAAAGCAAATGAAAGCCCTTACCCCTCTAAAGAACATAAAAGATTGTTAAAATATATACACTATTTCTAAACCCATAAAAAAAATTATTAGGGGATGAAATCCATCGACATCCTTTTCGAGCGATATTCACTCAAAATTTTCTCCTCATTTATATGTTTAGGTAATGTAGTTGTACCAATATACTTGTAACAACCATAGACACAAACTTCAATTTTCAATTTTATTGCATTTTATTTATCTCAAGAAGAAAACACATTCTTCAAACATCATAGATCATAAAGTAATGGTCTATTGGTCTGCATCAAGATACCCTACTCAATCCAACATACCCTACTCATCTACAGGAAACAATCAACGACCATATAATTTAATGGTAAACATAAGGTGTCTTCATAAAGTGAAATCTATGAGATTGTTGTGAGAATAGATTATATGTTTTTAGGTAATCACTCAATGGGTTTTAACACAATCATGTCACAAGAATGTAGGATAAATAAAATCAAAAGAAAACTCGAATAAAATTCAAACTCAACAAACCATGAACATTGGGATTCATGTTCAGCTCATGGACTTTGGATATCAACTTAGATTCAGATACGTCCTCAGGAAGGTCGAAATCGATGTAGTTGATACCAACTTCAGCACATGATTTCCTTTTGATATTGACATAGCACTGTGAATCTTTCCTCTGCACCACAATTACCACTGCTAGTCTAGGTACCTGAAATCACTCAAAGCCACAAATCAAAAGAAATCTCATTGACTGATCTAACAATGGCCATGTAAAGGACCTAATATCAACAAAACCGAGCAACACGGAACAAAAAATCAGTTTATGCGTAGAAATATATGTGCTGCTCTTGCCTCTCCGACCTAATATCAACAATGGCCATGTAAAAGACACAATCTCCAGGCTTCGAAACCCGGACAATGACATCTGCTTTGAAGAAAAAACTATTCCAGTGTTAGTCAACAGATTTTTTTTTTTTTTAAAAAAAATGATCCTCTGAAGTTCAACTCATGAATGGATAAATTGACATCAAGTAGGGGCACCACAAAAGGGAGGTTTCCACTTCAACTTTAATACAAAAGCTGCAGATAAACTATAATACAGAGGAATAGTGATCAAGTCAGTATCAAAACCCCAATTTAGATAGGTAATGAAACATGAAAATCATATTACTACAAATCATTACTTGTATAGGTAATGAAACATGAAACCATATTAAAAAAAATCCTAATATATATATACAGTAACCAGTCTTCATAGCAGCAACTATGACAATAATATTGGTGGTAGTGGTGGTGAAACACTCATCAATATTACATAATGTGGTAGCTCACTATCAAGAACAAATATAAAAGCCATCTCACATACAGATAAAAGACTGCTAGTAGTGAAGAAAGCAAAAACAAATGATAGATACATGTCCTAGCAAGAAGAACAAATACCATATCCTTGAAGAAATAAAGAACATGAAATTACTCGCAGATACTCTTCTACATGAGAGGCAAGAGGCGCAAGCTCCACATAGAATAAGTCTCACATGGCCACTTAGATCTTGTTTTATGTAACAGAGCCATTAAAGATCATTAACTGATAGGTAGTGTCATTAGCACTATGAATAAACAGATATAAAGCTCCATTAAGACAGTGCCAATCACCTTACTGAAAACAATTTTATCAAAAATTGGAGATGCCTCACTGTGTTTAGCACCATTCCTCATATTACACAGTTTCCTGCTTAACAAAAGTATCCAACTTTCAGGTCATACTCTTAAAAATGTAAAGATGGCAGGTATAAAGCAACTTAAGCAAAGAAGAATATCGTCGATCAAGGCTTTCAAGGATTGTTTCATGAGCAAATCGTCAACATTGATGTGAAGAACAATACATTTTGCTAAGTTCTCTGGTAAATGGTAAGCAACTGACTGGAATGCTGTTCACATAATTTAGCCCAACTTCTTTCGCACCACTTTCAAAATCCAAATTCAGTACCTAACATCTCCTCCACCCTCAACCGGATTGCGCTCCCTAACGGCAGGCCCGTTCCACCGGTCAAAAACTGAGTCAAAAACCACTCTAGGTCTGGACCGTCATGTTCCCCCTCCTGCTCGTCTACAACAACCGCTTCGGGATTCATGCTCTAGATCACGCCCATGAAGTCCCTCATTGCAGCTCCCATCGGGTTGCACAACAGCATGTGCAGCTTCAAAACGCATCTGACGACCACAGTTTCGCCCTCCTTCACGTGGAGCATCCATTGGCGGACATCCTCCAGCTGGCCGGAAATCGAGTGGAACTCTAACAGCAGGTTCAGGGCAGCCACAAGCCCCAACAGCCGCCCGCCCGTTTCCATCAGCTCCTGCTTTGATCCGCCCACGCCCGTGATCCGCACACGGCATAGAGTGTCACCCTGCGATGCCAGGCTGCGGAGGAGGCCCGGCCATTGCAGGCTCTGGCCCGCATCGAAGTCAATCACGTGGACTCAGGCCTTCTCCTCGAAAGACCATAGGAGGATCTCGTTCCACGTGAAATGCAAGAAACGCGGCTTACCTAGTTTAGCAAAGAGAGAATAAGAAATCATATGTGCTGGAATTGGGACCCAGCGACTGGCAACTTATCCCAACACAAAACGACACATTGAGAAACTAAAATTTTAATATACAAAATTTAACTACAACAAAATTGAGAAAGAAGTTGTTCATAAAACCTTATTTAACTACAACGGTGATAAACGTTTGGCCGAACATGAAGAGGTCGTTGTTGGCTCGCTGCCGATGCCGTTAAGTTGGGGATCAAGTGGTTGATACTTGTAGTGGAGGGGCCTACCGGATCTTCCTTTGCCTTTCTCTCTGGTTCACGGTATATCTGAATACAGAGAACCAAAGAGGAAAAAGTTATACAGGGGAAATTGGAAATAGCCGAGAAGAAAACAAAAGCAAAACATACCTTTTTCTCTCCACGACCTATCGCCGGAGAGCCTCCGGTCATCGGAGAAAACATAACACGTCTGACTAAATCCGCTGACCTTGGCGAGCTGATTCCTCGGAGCTTTTCCGCCGGTGGATTATTTTTGCCCGGTCATAGGTAATGGCGATGTTGCAGCAGCCGCGGTAGGGGATGGGTTGTACTGTTTGGAGCTGTCGCGAGATGTTCGGGGACCATAGGAGGTCTTCTCCGTCGGGAGATTGGAGACAATAATCTCCAGAACCTACATGTGCTCGCTCTCTATCTATCAGCAAGATGGGAATCGGATTTCAGGTTCGCAAGGGTTTGAGAGGAGCTGGGGAGTGAAAAAATTTCTCTGTCATTTTTGCGTCTCCGTGAAAAAGTGGCGTGTGACAGAAAGCAATCTATATATAATATATATATATATACTAGCTAATCTCATTTAATAAAAAATTTAATAAAAATATTTTTACTTTCCTTAAAAATAGTTACATTTTTTTAATTAATTATTCATTAATATCACATTTAAGAAGGTTTCTTTTAATTAAACTTAACTAATTAATGGCTAAATTAAGAAGTTTCTTTTAATTAATCTCACACATTTATGTTTCTTATTCTTATTTATATATATAAATGTGACATTCATTATTGTTGTGCAGAAACTATATATTATTATTTTTATTCCATTATGAATTGAATAAGCAATTAAAGTTATAAAAAATATTAATAAATGTATTAAATACAAACATTATAATACAGATCATGTTACATTTAAATGACATATAATTTATAAACTAAACTATAAGCATAATAAGATGAATTATAAAAAAATAATGAATTAAATAAATAAATTATTATTATAGCACAGTCTATATAATTATTATAGCAAATTCTATATTGTCAATATTATCATTTAAAAAGTTCATTGAAAAAACACATGTATAAAAAAAATTCATATGATCATAATTAATAGTGCAAAATTAACTATCTTTGACTTTCCATTTGGTAGTAATAATAAAATATTTTATATTACTACTATTCAATAAATCTAGTGCAGAGCCCGTGCGATGCACGGGATGCACAATTTTAAGGTTATTTATCTAGGCTTATAATTATATACATGAATAAAGAAAAATGTACGGGATAGATATAGTACGTGACACGTGCGAGACACTGGATATATTTATTTGGGGAATATTATATTATAAGATGCAATATTAAATAAAAGTTTTATAAGACGTAGGAAAATTGTACAATAAAATATTATTCGACAAAGAAACAATCATACATTATTAAAGACCTCATTGTACACAATATTATGAGTTTGATTATTTGGCAACTCGTCATTCTCACAAACTAATATCATTGTACACAACATTATGAGTTTGATTATTGGGCAACTCGTTATTCTCAACAACTAATATCTTCAACCCCCTTCTATTAGTTACACAAGAAACAAAACATATAATTGGCCATGACTAAAGACAGGTAGAGTAGATACAATACCTGTTAAGATTTTTAAGAAAAAATCTTGATATTCAAAAATCGCCTTATATGTAGAGGAACAAATCAAATCAGATTTTACATACAATTAGATAAAATTTTTTGTACAAAGATAAGAAGGAATTTTCAATTTTCAATATACAGAAACTTTAAACATGATATGTCTTGATTTACGTAAATCAATATCTATATAGATAACTAAACCCTTCAATTTAGGCTTTAAATCTGATTTATTTTTTGCTGAAGTAAAATCAAGATTTTATCTTGACCGATCAAATCTGATTTTTTTGTTTTCCGTACACTTTTTTTTAGCGATTTTATGGGTAAAAACAATTAAATAAAAATTAATTGATGGAAATAGAATGCATTAATTACTTTTGACTTTTATTCCTACTAATTCTAGTAAATGAGATGACTTTTTATGTAAGTATAGATTATAATCACAATTTGCATAATTACGTGGCACTAGAGCCCTAGACTTGTGATGCTCTATGCATATTAATGCATTTTAAGAAAAACTTTATTCTAATTTTATAGTTGGCAATAATTCTTGATTGACTTATTGAGCTAAGAAATGCATACTTTTTTTAATTAAAAAAAAACGTCATATTACTAAATCGACTTTCTCTAAATTAAGTTGATTACAACAACAACTAAATGCCCAACAGAGTTGATTTTATTCTGTTTCCAGTTGATTAAGTTGATTACAACAACGACTAAATGCACAAAGACTATTATGTTTACAAATCTCATGTTTTCTTTTTTGGCTGTCTGCATTTTCGTTGAACTTTTGTGGTGTTTAAACTTTTAATTATCATTTATTAAGTACGGTTTTGCTACAATTTTACTTATGGGAGAAGGTAGTTTGAAATGTATATGTTGTGTATCATAAGTACTTTGGTAAGAAAATTCGAAATTAAATCTTGAACTCATGGCATATAGAATCATCCANTTTTATTATTATTATTTTTTATTTTTTCTTTTATGATTGATGGGAATCCACTTTCTAGTGGATCTTTGAAATAATAATAGCTGGGCTTTATGTTAAACCACAATGAACATTACTGAAAATAATACAGTGATCGTAGTTAGAAAAATTAGTGAACTGCCTGCACAAATATATACACAGAGGACAAAGGAGATGGATTTTTCTCTCCCAAACCTTTAGCAAGGCAAACGTATTTCAACACGAGCCGCTTATAATGACTCAGCAAATCTTCCACATCACCAACCGCCAGGTCACCGGCTTCGGAGTACAAATAAGGGAAATCCCAAAAAAGCTGGTTCGGATCGTCTTCCTTCAAAAGATCGGTTGCGCCCTTGTTTTCTAAATCAGACACCGACGGAATTTTATCCAACACTTTACTGTCTTTCTCAAGTAATTCCTCAGCCCAAGATTTAATTTCACGAGATGGACTTTTGATTTCTTGAATTTTGGATTTTGGATCCACGGTGTGTTTGTTTGGAGTTTGTTCGGTAGTTTGATTCGTTTGAGCATCCACGTAGTCGGAGTTCTCAGAGAGGCCGGCAAGAAGGGCTTTTGCGGATTCCATGTTCTTTTCAAATTCCTCGTCGTCCATCGAGAGGGCTTTTGCGTCTATATTGGTAATGAAAGACTCCAGCGAGATATTCGTGAAGAAGTAGGCTGTCTCGGCTACCAGGCGAGTTTGTCGTCTAAATCGTTGGATATATGACAGATTTGAGTGCAGTTGGGGAGGATTTGCATGGTCAGGTCATCACAATCATTTTTTATTTTTAAATTAATTCCAGTGATGATAAATTAATGAGGCGTGTGAAAAGGACATAAAAGTTGCCGTTTTTGGAAAATAATTAATGCAAACCGAACTTTGACCATTAATTGACCTACTAATCTTGGTAAATGTTAATTCTTATTATATATATATAGATGCATGATTTATGCAGATTTGATTATCGCAATATTCTGTTTTATAAATTAAAAAGTGTGCTGAATAAATTGGCTCATATTTTTCATTAAAAAAACTGTTGGCCATGAAAAAAAATATTATTTCACAATTATAAATATAAATATGATTAATTTTCATTAAACAATTCCTCTTTAAGAAAAAAGCGGCGGGACAAATTTCTGCATGATTATAGCATCAAAACATATCTAAAACATCAATATTTTAATGCATTAAAAACCATACTTTCAGCAATAGAAAAGTCATATTAAACGGAAATTGTCAAAGTCAAAGAATGAGGATTGACAAGATATTGTGTGTAATAGCAGATTGTTGCATAATATAGAAATATCAAGCATAATTAATAATCAACAACAAAAAAAAGTCAAATCTATATGAAAAAATCAAAATTAAAAACACAGCAAATTATGTGGAACATTATTGGACACTATACAATATATAAAGAAAAATATTTTGATTTCTCTATCATTATCGACACATTCAACTTTTACCAAGACATCTGCCTTTATATTAAAATCGATTTTTTGCGTAAAAGTTTTAAAAATAAAAATTCATACAGATTCTTTTAAACATTAAACAAGAAATTCCTAATATGTGATAAATATATCTAAACAGATTTGTTATAAACTGTTGATATCATATTCGAATTAGGGCCATTAAAAGCTCCTTGGGAAGATTAGTGAAGACTGTTTAGGCTAAGCGCCGAAATTTCCGAATTGTGAGGAGTTGTTTCTGGGACCACCTCGATATCGGGACGACACCTCGGTATAATGAGTTCACCAACGAGTCGGGGGGACGTGTAGCTTGTGAAGAACCCGACCTCTGAAAGAACCGACTTCAGGCCGACAAAGTGCGACGCCTGTCAATCAACTGATGGAGCACCCATACCGTTATCATTGCCTATATGATCTATAGTACAAAATACAACAATTATTTAAACAAATAAAACAATTATATGTCTTAATTTGAAGATAGTGATTTGTAGTGATGGAAATTCTGTTGAAAGAAAAACCACAAACGTTGTATATAAAGAATTGTTTAACAATATTTAGTTATTCTTTCTTAGAACATTTTTTCAATGATTATATTGTGATTTTTACTATTGTTAATATATTTTTATTATTTTTTGTTCTATTATATTGCTTTCCGTCCAAATGCACGGGTTAAAAACTAGTATTGTTGACTTGCTGTCATAAGACAATGACCAGAACCAAAAAGTGGACTGAGAGAAGGGTAAATTAATAAATAGAATGCAATATACACAATTAAAATTCTTAAAAAATGCCGGTTTCCAGCCCTCTCAAAAAAGGGACCAAACGACGTCGTTTAGTCTTAAATGGAGAGAAAAGAAGGCAGCCACGTGTCAGGTAAATAAAGGGGTTAAGATAGAGGTAGATGACTCCAAATGGAGATATATTGATATAAGTGGAGTGATAGAAGCTGAGTTACCCTTCTCTTCATATCCACAAATTAGGTTCTCAATTAGCGATATTTCTATGGAGCCTGTTATAAGATTTTTCTGTGGATTTGGGTTCATCCATTAATAATGATGATATGGAACTATCAGCACTTTTAAGGGTAAAGTTATGTTGACAATGCCATGAAGTCATAACGGCACTCGCTTGCACAAATTAAATTGGCACAACGCATCTATAAGACCATCGTCGCCGATCTCAATATTCATGTCGATCTCATTCTCGGTCGACCTCATTCCAAGTCGAGCATCCTACATGCTTGCATCACTACTTCACATGAATATCTGATTTTTTCAAATCGACACCAACCATGTAGCTTCCTTCGTGTCGATCTCACCGTCTCGTATGAAAAGGGATTACCGCCCAGAACCAATTCACACCGCCCAGTATGAATGTGCCCAACAACCCTATAACTAGTTAGTTGAATAGATGTCCCAATATGTGTTGCCTTGCATGAAGCGAACACCCTAGATATGCATCACGCGTCTGATGACTCATGATGAGCTTTCACTTTTATTGTTTATAAATAGCGTACAAAGAAAGGGAAAATAACATAAAAAACACAATCCTATACATGATAAGTTTGTTGAGTGCCAATTGTACAGTCTATTTTCATTGATTGATTGCATTAGTACTCTTTGTGTATTGAACGAATCCTATACATAATAAGTTTGTTTTGTACTGACCATGTACACGAACTAGACCACGGTTAATTACTGTGTATTGCACTTTATCAATTATCTTTGTCTATATGTCGCATAGCTTTTCGCACTTTATCAATTATCTCCGGCTGTCTATCATATAGCTCATCGCATATGTGTTTCGTATTTTAGCAATTATCTTTGTCTGTCTATCACACAACTCATCACATAATTTGTTATGCACTTTATCATTTATCTCCACCTATCTGTCGCATAGTATATCGCATAATCTGTTTCGCATTTTATCAATTACCTTAGCCTGTCTTTTACATAGTATGTCCCATAATGTGTTTGTCAATTATTAGTTCATTTTAGTTATTGATTATTGATTATTCATATGAATTAGTTTTAGCTAGAATAAATTCATACATAAATTTAAATTAAACTAATGCATGTGCTACCTTGTAACATCTATGAATATTTTCGACCAAACAAAATGAGGAAGTGTCAGTTCGAAAACAGTCGGTGTAGGATCTAGAGAGCCTTCGTTGCTCTCAACCTGAAAAACTTTACTTTTAAGAGGGGATGACATACCTTCGTCCACGACAATGGCGTGGAACAAGGAGACACCACTGTATTCAAAAACTTCGGCGTCCACATGTTTGAAGTTGTTTTTTTAGATGACAAAGAATGTCTCCGTTCCTTCTGTGAGGAATTGACCAGCTTATGCTTGTCCTCTTGATTTTATGACTTAGTTTTTTTTATAGTATATGTGTATATTAGCAAATATTATGAAATGTAAATAATTATTGTCTAAATCATTCTTTTTATTTGTTTTATGGCAATTGGGTCTTCAATTTATTAGTTTACTCAAACAACATGATCTTTTCAAAAATTATTATGCACTTTTTATGCGCATAACTGTCGCAAGTTCATTCGCACAAAAAAATAATTATTTATCAAATCTCTGCATATTTATCGCTTATATGTCTCAATTATCTTCATTATTTATATTAACTAATAACTATGCGAGTAATAATTGCAGATTACGAACTTACAAAATATGTAATTTCAAATAAATTAATATGCGATTAATTATCTTTGTCTGTCTTTCGCAGTGTATGTCGCATAATTTGTATTACACTTTATCAATTATCTTCCTATGTCTGTCGCAATGTGTAAGTAACTGAAAATTGACAGTAAATCGACGAACCTTCATCTATCCCCGGGAATAGACTGCTCAGGAATAATTAAGGGAAGTTTACTTTAAATTCTTTAGATTAATTTCCTAGATATTAGTTAATTGAAATTAACTAATGCGTGTATTATTTGTGCAGGAGTAAAATAGAGATGCACTTTCCTTGTGAAGAAGATTCAGCCGCTGAGTCTCACCTTCCAAAAATGGAGATGGCAGAATCAATCAAGAACATTCCTTATGGGGTGTGGCTTGGCAGCGAAGACTTGTTTAACTTACCATATGCGAGCCGATATAAATGAATGAGGACGCGTATGAAGAAGGTGTTGATATTCCTTTAGTTTTTCTGGTGAGAGTGTTTTTAAAAGATGAAGAACTATTCCTAGAGTTTGTGTTTTTATTTTTTATTGAGTGGTGAATCAAGAGAGCATTCTTGATCACGTTGAGTTTTCTGTTATGAATTGTAACTGTGTGCTTAGAGGTTCATTCTGATCTGTTTGAGGGAGTCAAACGAGAAAAACTACAAGGGACTTGTGGTCGGATAAGTTGTCGTGTAAGTCATTACTTCAAGTAGAGTGTAGAGGGAGTCTACATAGTAAACCTTTGAGTAATGGTTGTAATATCTACATTAATGAAAGAGATCCGAAGGGAGAGCGGGACGCTCTCCTAAAGGTTCGGTTTTAAGTAACTTTGCTTCCGCATTTGTGTGAACTTTCTTAAGTTTACTGCTTCATTTGTTTAAGCGCTATTCTGGTCGTTTCCGTATACCCATATACAAATTCACAATGTATATCGCATAATGTGTTTCACACTTTGTCAATTATCTTCACCAAACTTTCGCATAGATGATCGCATAATTTGCTTTGCAGTTTATGAATTACATTCATGTTGTTTGTACATATTCGTCTATCTGTCGCACAGCATATCATATAATGTTTTTCGCACTTTGTCCATTATCTTTACATGTCTGTCATATAGCTCACTGTATAATTGCTTCGTACTTTATTATTATCTTTGTCTGTGTGTCGCATAACTTCTCCCATTTTATCAATTATCTTCTTCTGCTTATCGCATAGCTCATCGCATAATGTGTTTCACACTATATCAATTATCTTCACTTGTCTGTAGCATAGCTCATCATATAATTTGTTCCGCACTTAATCAATTATCTTCGCATTCTGTCGCAAAGTATATTGCATAATCTATTTTGCACTTTGTCATTTATATTCGCTTATCTGTCGCATAGCTCATCACATAATTTTTTCGCACTTTATCAATTATCTTCGTCTGTTTGTCGCGTAGTATATCGCATAATCTGTTTCCAACTTTGTCAATTACATTCGTTTGTCTGTCGCATAGCTCATCACATAATTTGTTTTGCACTTTATAAATTATCTTCGTTTGTTTGTAACATATTATATCAGATAATTTGTTTCACACTTGTGGGGTGAAAAAGTCAACATTCTTTTGGCGGTATGAAAAACTTATTCATTCTTCAAAGCGGGGTGAAAACTACTATTTCCTCACATATATATTTGTAGGTAAACACATAAAAAAATTGTAGTTAATCTTATTGATAGGGAATTTGTAGACAATCCATATGCCATCTCCAATCGAAAAACTCATTCCTAAACTTATTTTGCAGTAACTATCTTATCTAACAGTAGTTCATCTCCAACCGAAAAACTCAATCTCAAACCCAAACGAATATTCTCTTTTATATCAACTTTGTCAATTTTTCAATGCTACCCACATATTTTATAATTTTACAAATTAAGCAACACTATTATTTCAATTCGATTTGGAATTTATGTAATGAAGTTAATTATAAAGGAAAATATATTAAAGAATATTTATTAAATAAGTAAAAACTAATGATAAATTAGGCCATACCATTAATTTGATTGAAAAAAAAATATTATAGAAAAATCACATTGTTTCTATTTATTACCAATCTTTTATAAAAATAATGATAAATTATTTCTAAATTTGTACTGATATATGAAAATATTTACAAATATTTTCATAACTTTTGGATTAATTGTTTCGAGGATCTACACACACACTATATATATATTATTAAGTAATATTGGATTGAATTATTAAAAATATTATAAACAAATCGTTTCCTCATTAAAAGAATAAAATATGATATATGATATTAAAATGTTAATATAAAATATATTATTAAATATAATAGGTAAAAGTAAAAATGATAAAGCAAAGGACTCAAATGCAATTTGATAAATGTATTGCATTTGTTAATTGGGAAACGCGAAATTGCGTTTAAAGAGAGAGAAGTTGAGGAAGAATGCATTTTGATTTGGGTTATGCAGTTCGGTTGGAGAATTTTTTTGGATTTGCAATTGATTTTGGAGTACGTTGGAGAAGGTGATAGGCATTTACCAACAAACTATATATGTTGGTATATAGCTACAAATTGAGTACAAATATTTGTCTAATATTATTTTTTATTGGAGATTTAGTTGTAATTTGGATTAGATTTATTTTTTTTCCATATACAAACTTTTGCAATTATTTTATAGATAATATGTTGCTATTTACCACCAAAACTTTTTTGCTGATAATATTTATTGCTATTTTGCCATTTTTCTTCTTATAGCCTAGTGGGGACTCCCTTTAAACTCCCAATCGCATAAGCGAATAATATGGTTGGTCCAGAGCCATATATTTTTCTCCAATAAAACTTCTCATCCCATAACGTATACAAATTTCCAGACAAAATGACTTCGTGAGCAAATGCATCACAATCTATAAATAACGTAGATATACAGCCAAACTTATGTGTTTCTTACAATGTAACATAACATGACTAATAAAAGTTTTGGTTGAGACGTCTTTCCTCAATGCACACAGTAACACTTGGGCTAAAAGAAGCGTTTGTAATTAAACTGGTGGAGTTGGCAATGGTAATTTCCCTATGAAATCGTTGCGAAGACTACCCAAGTACAAGTGCCCTTCAAACTCCAACGCGGATGTTACAAACTCCATCACCTTTCCAGTCGGGTCGTCAAAACCCCTTATTATCTTGCCATTTCTATCCACGTTCACCACCATTGCTTTCTTCCTTAAGCGAGCCATCCACTTTCCCAACTCATGATGAGACTCTATCAAGTACCTCAATGATCGCCACTTGTACAAAAACTCGAGCCTACGACTATGCAGCTGCACCACATAGGCCAGAACAGTTATACCCGTTTTTGGCAGTTAATTGCAGTTTTAGTCTAGCAACTGCTGAACATGTGGCAAGAATGGTCCATCACAAATCACCATTCTATGGAAAAGGAAAAGTACTTCACATAATTTTTGAGAAAACTATGGATATAGTTTATCTTTTTAAACTATAACTACAACTCCGTTTAATGTTAGGGAGTAAATTGCAATTGTGGTCCTGTATGTTTCACTACCCTAACTTTTTTTTCCCCTTCGAATTGCTTTTTTATTTTCGTCCATTATGTTTGCAAAAATGTTACAAAAAGGTCATTTGCGCAACAAAAAGGTCCCTTATGTTTTGCAAAAAATGTTGCGATTTTGCCCCTTATGTATGCTCGGGAACTTTTTTGTGGGATAAAAAAATTAGAATAGTGAAACATACATGACTAAAATTGCAATTTTCTCATTGCAATTTTCTCAATGTTATTTCATAAATTAATTGTTTCATCAAGGTAGTAATACATGCATATTCCAATACTGTGGATTCGTACCTCTAACAAAGCAATCCAGAATGAACCATCTGGGGCAAGGTTTATGTTGTCAGGAGCTCCAGGAAGGTTATCAATGAAAATCTCTGTTTTCCCCTTTTTATCTCCATCCAACCAATACTTCAAACACGTATGTCTGCTCAACTTCCACAAATCAAACAATAAAACTTGAAAATTTAATTGAAAAGAAAAGAAAAAAGAATGAATGTATGTACTCTCACTTCCAAGATTCACAAATGACCAAGTAATCTTGGTCGGCAGATAAGGCAACGCCATTCGCAAATCCAAGGCCATCAAGTACAACATATGTAGCATTTGATGAAGGATCGTATTTCAAAAGCTGCCCGTGAGGCTTAGCTTCCAGCACATCAAGGTGCCAGTTGTGGAGGCCGTATTTTGTACTCGCCACACTATAGTACAAACTGCCGTCCGATGCTTCTACCACATCGTCCGCAAACCTTGTGAAATTTAAGGATGTAAAAATTAGTTGTTATATATCATAATTTTTATTGATGACATATAAAGAAATTTACCCAATCAGAGATTGTACGTTATTGATCATAAATTAAAAATGATGGAGCTAATCATTAATTTGTTAAGTTGAAATCGGGATTAATGAGATTAAGAAGTTTTAGTAGAAAATTTAAAGATGATCCGGTGATGACGAGGAATGACATATCCATGGCTGTTTAGGGTCCAACCCGTGTAATGCAAGAACTTTCACTCCCTTCTCGTCGATCTTAAGTGGGCCCTGTCCATGACAAAATTATCCATTGATTTTAGAACCACAAATATATTCCACAGTTAACAGAGGCATAAACTTAAGCTATGTTTGGTAAAACTACCTAATAAAATAGCTTATAACTTATATGTAATTTTTGAGCTCATAACTTATTACTTATGATTTATAGCTGAAAAGTTATCTTATATGATAAGTAGCTTATGAGATAAACTCGAGTTTTTTAAAAATGTTCGTACTACCAAACGGGACTTATTTAAATACAAGAAGTTTATAAGCTATCTAAATAAGCTATAAGCTAGCTTATTTGGCTTACCTAACATAACCTAATATGCAACAATATAAATAAAAGAAATGGAAATCGACACTGAAATGACTAAGAAACTATAAAATTAAAATAAATAAATAAATAAGATAAGACCAATGGAGTAAAAAATATAACAATAATAAAAGAGCTTAAAAAAGTTGAAAAGAAAAACCAACTATAAATGAAAAAGAAATAAAAAAAAAAAAACAGATAAAGAACAGATACACTACTACTAAATAAAAAGGGCAAAAAGGTTTGAGAATTAAATTTGAGTTCTGTTTAAACAAATTTTGTCCATCAGGTAACCAAACACATATTTTTAATGCAATATATCATTACCTATACTAATTATACCTTATTTGCGTCGCACACAACAATATCACCAGCGGCAGTAACTGTTACTCCCAACAAACCATCACTGTCGAGTCGCCTCCAATTTTCCCAAGTTCCATTTTTGTGCATCCTTTTGATAAAACCGTCTCTTGTAGCTGTATAAAGAACTCCATTTTTATCTACTGCAACGTCTTCTGGTTGCTTTAGAAGCCCTTCTCCTAGTTTGATCACTTCCTATCATAGCAATTTAATCAAGTTGAGGAAGAAATTCATAAAACGGGATTTTCTTTTATTTATTTATTTATTTATTTATTTATTTTCACCTGTATTTTGCCGTTTCGAAATTCATTTGCAGCAGGGCCAAACGACGGTGAGAAAAAGGTTACTTGAACAACAAGTGCAAGGACAAGAGCTACTAGAATTCCGAAGCATGTTAGTAAGTGATATTTGTATGCCCAAGCCATGGATGTAATATGTAATATGCCCAAGCCATGGATTGTGAGGTTATAAAAATATTGAATGCTAGTCAACAATGACAAAGAGAGATTTTAGTATTTGTGTTGGCAGGTTGTGTCTAATTGTGTGAAAGAGACCATAATGCTTGATTAGTCCCTTTCTCAATAGCTGTAGCTGTACGCATACATTATGTGGTCAGTCGTCTAGCCAAGCTGCCCTTCAAGTCAGGGTAAGCTTAAAAGCGTTTATTAGGGGAAAAAAAAAAACAAAAAGAAAGAATGAAAATCAGAGTGGATAAATGGCAATCATCCAAGCCCGAGTGGTCAAGTACAAGTAGTCTCACCGTGGGTGTGTGGTGGTGCGTGTATGTTGAATAATTATTTATTTTTTTAAATATTGGTTTATATAATAATTAATATAGACGAAATTGCTATTTTCAACTATTTTGAACACGGAATAAATTTGTCACATCGTCAATTAAAAAATTAATTTTTTCACCCCACAAAATGCGAAACAAATTATGCCATGGGAGATAGGCGAAAGATAAAGGTTATGTTTGGTAGACGAATAAACTAGCTTATAAGTTTGATGTATTTAAATAAGTTTCGTTTTGTAGGACAAGCTGTTTAAAAAAGCTTATTTAGGTAGCTTTGCAAATAAGCTCGTTGAAATTTTTATTCAGCTAACTTATCAGTTAATTTTACTATGCTAACTTTTCAGGTGTAAGTCATAAGCAATAAGCTATAAGTTCGAAATATTATGCGACAAACAAGCGAATATAATCGATAAAGTCAGGGGCAGACGAACATATATTGTAGGGGGGCGATCCCCCCAAACTTTTTGTTTTTTTACCTAAGTATATATATAATGTATTAGATTAAATATATTTAATTATTATTATTTTCCATTAACCAATTAACGAATGATATATTGACTTTGATTAGGTAAGCTATGACAAGACAAGGCTCATTACAAATATATTTAAAAGATAGGGAAATGCTACAATCCCGTTACGGAACTATTCCGTCGGGATTTGTAACCGTTAGATCATCATGTAATCGTCATGGATAGTTGATTTAACGGTTACCAATCCCGACGGAATAGTTCCGCAACGGGACTGTAGAATCTCCCTAAAAGATAACCCATAAAACTCATTTAATTTCCATCTTTTATTGTATTATATTAATGAAACTAATCAAACTATTTTAATTGACTTAAATTTAAACTTCGAAATAAAATGGAAGATGACTTTCTTGCGAATTCTTTGACTATCTTTGATGAAAGGGAAATTACAAGATCTATTACTACCGAGTCAATTATCGATGAGTTCCGTGACTTGAAAGAACGTCGAGCACAATTCTAATAGTCACAAAGTTTGAATGGTATGTATTTTTCTTGAACTATTTTTTTTCTATTCTAGAAATGCAACACTGTCTTTTTAACGAAGTATGTCATTATTGAAAATTATTTAGTCTGCCCTCTGTTAGATATGCTGTAAAAGCTTGACTTTCAGATATGAACAATTCCATTTTGATCTAGCAATCATGTTTTAGTCAAAGAACATATGCTTGCAGTTTATTTATTTATGCAATCATACTCCTTGTCTTACATTGAGATAGTGTGGTTCATGGTGTCTCGAACAGAAAGATCACCTCTTGGTTCCTTGTAAGATTAATTAAACTATTCGTTCACAGTCTACACAGGCAGTGAGACCCCTCTTAGAAAAAGACTGTAGTGTATTATTCATTCAGTTTATCTTTGACTGGAGAACTACACTAGTACTTATGATAAGTATTGAACAGGACCGCAGAAAGATAAGATTATGAGACTCACTGATCGTTGTTGTAATCTAGACCATCGGTTATTGATGCGTTCTCTAAAGCTGTAAGATAATAAAATGGGCATGTATATTAATTACTTGTTTATTTGATTTACCAGAGGTGATTCCTATTTTGTTAGGATGACATACTCGGTATTTTGGTAAATGAGAATGTTTATATGGTGTGTTGTTATAAATTATTTACAGTCACTATGTTCTAGTGCGCTGGATTGATGACGTCCCCAAAATGAGCTCAGGAAGAAATATTATGTTAAACCCTGCAGGTGGATGATTATCCGACATAATGATTAATGATCTGAATGGTACTAATTTCAGAAATGAATAAGAAGTTGATTAATTATTTTGTCAGTAATTTAATTAATCGACGGACGTTATATCTTAAACATAGGGAGGTCAATCGGTCAACTAGATTAATCAAGTGGAGGTTTGATTTACTGATTAAATTGGAGCTAAATGGGGAGAGCAATAATATTACTTTAGTGGGATGTATTATTATTTAATTCTAATTAGGATTTTAGGAATTAATTTTATTCTATAATTAATATTCCATTAGGAGGAGAATATTCCTTCTAGAATATTACCTAGGGTTAGGAGACTAAAGAGTCTTCTAGAAGGTGATGTTTGGTAGAAAGAGTTTTATCCTGGATTAGAAAGATATGTGGAGTAGAATTAGGATTCCTTCTCCTAATGGGATAAGCTCATATTTAGCACCTCCTTAAGGTCCCTAATGGAGCCTATTAATACACCTTGTCCCAACCTCTTGGAATATAGATGTTGGCCGATTTTTCCTTCTTCCTAAGAGAGAAAAATTGTCTTGTTCGAGAGTCAGGAGATTCAATTATCGCACTACCAAGATTAATTGAAGTAGGTGTTTAGGTAATTCATTAGAAGATTTTAAGGTGATATTTATCAAAACCTTAAAGATCCATATATTCCGGTCATCACTCGCAGCCGACTGCCGCCGTCCGCCACCGCAGGAGTCACCGAAAATCGTCGTCGCCGAGCATCGCCGCCGGAACCCTACCCGAGCCCAGCTGCCTGCAGCCGCGAGCACAGGCCCGCAACCGCACGCAGTCGAGCCATACGCAAGGTTCCAGCGACGCATCGCGACCCCGCACGTCGTCACCTGTTCGGTGTGCGCTACAATCCGTGATCGCCGTCTGCCCATCACGTTCGTGCCCCGCTCTTTTGTTCGAGAAGGTCCCGCGCCTTAGTCCTCGAGCGCATAGGAATTGCGCAGCATACGAACCGCGTGATGTCCAGATGCTGCACTTCCAGTCCGCCCAGGCGTAGGAGTCCCTCTAGCACGCGCCCGCGATACCCGCGCATTCCAGCCACTCGACGCGCACCACCCGGTCCCGATCAGCGCCTGTCCGCGACCAGCGACCGAGACCGAACCGCTGCATCTCCGACCGAGACAAGCCGCCCAAGTTCCGATCAAGTTGATCCGGTGATCCGTTCATGATTCAACACTCGATCAGAATCGAGAAAGGCCAAACCCTTCAGCCTATTGGGTTGTGGTAATCAGACAATCTCCATCAAGGGAAATCTGAATCGCCTCTGAGTCGACAAAAATATTAAAAGGTAATGTCCTAATCCTAATTATAGATTCCGCTGCGTTAGGATTTATTTCGATAAATTCAATACTGTGCATTCATTGATGTTCCTAATAGAAACCAACAACTGGTTCCTAATAAACACACAGATAGATGCCATGGTGATGATCCAATGCGACTTTCCCGGAGACGACCTATTCAGAGTGAAGAGTGGGAGTCACTGCGAAAGGGGAGTTCCACTTCCTGAAACGGAAGGCACATTCAACAAAGGACATGATTGTATCTCTCCGTAATATTGAAGATTAATTATGGCCATGATAGTTGGATTATAGTTCCTAGTTTATTATTGCTTATTAATCATGCATGCTCTTATGTGATTTAATTGCTCTATGTGCAAGTTAAATTAGAAGAAGCATGACTAGGAAAATCCCTTAAAATAAAAAAAAAAAATATATTAAGTGTGTAATGGATTGAAATAAATTACATCCAAGGCCTCCATTATAGATTTGTCAGTGAAGTGATTTGAATCGAGCCCAACGGACGTTTTATTTCACAGTTCACAAGGACAAATCTCCTTCGAGATGATAGTAGCGAGCTATTTCAAAAACGTATGGGTCACCCAAAGTGGACGTATAATTTTGGTAGTAAACTTAGTACCAATTAATGGGTTACACTTAAAGTGCAAATAATTACGATATTCCCAAAGGAAAAGGCAGTTTTTTATTTTTGCGCTGGCCAGAAGTTGGACCGACTATTAGTTAAGTACTGTTTGATGGTATGTTAACTAATGTGATTAATCACTCCTCTTGCGATGGTTTGAACCGTAGACTTCCACACTCAGTGGCCTGCGGGGATTCGGTGTTTTGAGGTGTCGGTGAATTTATTTGAATATTGTTTTTAGGGATCAATATTTGATGTTAAATTCGAAAACACTTGACTGAGTAAAAAATATGTTTACATGATCCCAGTATTCAAAATGTCTTTCAATCTGTTGTCCATAATTCTCAAAGAAAACAAACTTGTTGGTCCCAATGACATTGACTGGAAAAGGAACTTGGATATGTGTTAACTGCTGAAGGGTATAAATTTGCTACTATTGAGGCTTGTCCTGATGTGCCTGTTGATGATGCGCCATACCAAGAGAAAGAGGCGTATGCTCTGTGGAGAAAGGCTGACGAGATGGCAAAGTGTTACATCTTGGCATCATTGTCGAATGTACTTCAACATCAACATCAGTCTATGGACACTGCAGCAGAAATGCTCCTCAATCTCAAGGAGTTGTTTGGCCATCAGTCTCGGGCTGCCCGACAAGAAGCCATGAGGGTTTTTGATGAAAATGACAATGCGTGAGGGCACTCCTGTAAGGGAACATGTTCTTGCAATGATGGCCCAGCTGAATGAGCTGGAGGTTCTTGGGGCTTTTATTGACAGGGAAACCCAGGTTGATATAGTGCTCCAGTCTTTGCCGAAGAGCTTCGAACAATTCCGGTTGAATTATAACATGAATAAGATGTTGATGACTCTTCTGGAACTTGTTGCTGAACTTTAGTTGGCAGAGGGCCTGTTTCGTCACAAAACCCAAACGATGGTTGCCCAGCGGGGTGAAGGTTCTTCTTCTAGGCCTTCTAAAGGTAAGAAAAAAAGAAGACCGCAGGAAAGGGCAAGGCGATCATGAATGATGCGCGACCTCAGC